TCTCTCTCTCTCTCTCTCTCTCTCTCTCTCTCTCTCTCTTATATATACATACATATTCATATACATACATGTTTCCTTGTAAACACGCCAATGCACTATATGTAATAATAGACAATGGGGCGGCTGTGGATGTATGCTTCGTCTACTCTTCTCTGCTAAGCTGCAGGAGGGCTGGTTCGAAGAAGCCCGCTTCAACCCTCCTTGCATCTCATTTGGCTTCAGGGTTGAGTGTAAGAGGGTCAACGATTGTCTCTTCTTCCTTTCATCTACCCCGGCTCCTGGTCAAAAGGGTGCAAATGGGTGTTTGTCAAAATTAGGGTCCCTTTTTGGGCACCCTAAATAATAGGTGCCGTATTATAGCAAGGACTCAAAAAGGGACCCTAATTTTGACAACTACGCAAATGCCGTTCAAACTGAAGTGATCACAGGATGCGGGCGGACTACTGCCGCTACCTCGCGGAGTTTCACCCAGAGAGCTCGGAGTGCAGAGAGAAGGCTCAGTGGGCCTCTCAGGAAGCCTTTGCAGCATGCCAGGACCTTTCAAGGCATTGAGGTTTCAGGTTGCAGGCCTATGGGTTCGTTGGCTTGGAGGGTGATAGGCTCTGGGATGCCTGGTTTTAAATGTCTGTTGGTTGGTTTCTGAGGTCTGCAGGGAATTCAGAATTGAGTTCTATGTTTCATTACCAGGCGCGGGTGAGAAGGCTTCGCGCCCCCTGAGGACGGTCTCCCGCCAACGCACCCCATTCGCTTGGGAATGTGCCTAAGTCAAGCGGCCTTTCAGTACGAGATTCTGGGGCAGACTTCGGCAGCTGTGCAGATGGGCAAAAAAGCGTTGGATGATGCCCTTACCCAGATCGATGACGTCCCTGAAGAGCACTACAAGGACGTGGTCCTCATCATGTCAGTTCTGCGAGACAACCTCGCATTGTGGACAACCGACATGCAATCCTGTTGAAGTGTGGTGTTGCATGCGGCATCGCGAACCTTGCCATTGCTCCATGTGTTCAGATCAAGCTTGGCGAGGGACATTTGTACAGCCGTTCCCTGTGCTACATTTCAAAGCTGTTTCCCGATCGGACAATGGGCCCAATAGGGGACGGAAGTAAGTCGTTGCTTAACATACCCTAAGGGTCCATGTACCTATATAGGGAGTACCTTAGGGCATTTTAAGGCCAATGTGTATATACTATATGAGTACATGGGCCCTTACGGATAGACTCCCTTCCTTGATTTCCATCACGCAGTAATAGTGTTTGTCGTTCCCTACTGATGTGATGGCAATTGCTTGATTGCAAGCTGGACACGATTTGCTGCTGTGGAAGCCGGTCAGACGGCACTGCTGAAGTTGGGATTTGGGGCATGAGGGCGTGTAGCGTTGAAGCACCAAGATGAGAAGCCACCGAGCTCTTGTTATGCAAACTCTGTCGAATCTTGGAACAAGACTACAGTGCTTCTACTCGCACTCAAGTTGCACATGTACGATCGACATATTATTACTTGCTGGCCATGAACGCTTGGGACGAACACGTGCAACTACAAGCCATGCCAGCAAACACGGGACAGGCCCCTCACAGCCTGCAATCTAGAGGGAGTCTCGAGCAAACAGAATGTACCAGAGTCGCTTAAAGATGCTGCGAAGGCTTGCAGCAGCGGGCCGTTTCCGGCTTCGATCATGAATTGTCCTGCATGCGGGGGCTTCGTGCTCCGAATTCCATATGTTCAGTTCTTAACAGCGAGTCCCATGAACAAAATAAAGCCTTCCCCATACCCTTCGCTTTTGCCACGAGGGGCCTTGACGCAGTTGGGTCTGACATGAACTAGCTAACTGGAGAAAGCATGAAGCATGATGTGGCCCACTTGCATACAGCCCTGTTTGCAGGGTTCTCCATCGTTGAACTACATGTCGTTTGCAGTGAATGTTTCCTGGATCGAAGCTTAGAATATGACTGTTGAAAGATGCTTCAGGCAATGTGTTAGAGTTTTTTGTGCGCTTTTCAGGAGGGACGCATGTCCTATCGCAGCATGGGCACTCGCAGACCGGGGCCTTTCGGGCAAATGACGGCGGAGGCCAAAAAACGTCCAGATGCCTTTGCAGATGTCGTGCTTCGGGAGTCATATCGACATATGAAGAACACCAAGATTCCGTGTGGAAGCTTCGGTGCGTTCTGAGCCAGGTACTGGGACGGTGCTTCTCCCTCCCACCATCCCCCACCCGTAGACTAGTCATAAGCAGCAACAGTACGACAACAAGGAGGCAGTATAGGGGATCAGTACTGACAAGACTTCAAGGAGAATGAGATCAGCAACAGTTAATAGTAAGAAGAAGGATCATGCTCGTAGTCATAATCGCGGTCATCGTGAAAATGATGATGCCGTAGTGCTCATACGTACTGTGATGGTGATGCTGATCAGCTTCTAATCATTCAAAAGACTCATAGCCTCTTGCCGTCTTCGTCGGCATCAGCTGGCCGTCTCAGCTACCCTAGCTCATCATAGCACTTTAGCTCATCATGGCATAGCAATATAAGACGATCGCTTCAGGGTCCTCGCAGCTAAGTTGGGCGGCAAGTGGGAAATCGTGAGCCTCATCCTGCCGGAACCCACGCGCCAGAGACAGCATCTGACCCTCACCGTAAACGCTATGAGCGCGAGTGCCACAAACCCAAAACCCAGACGACCTTTGAGAGTCGAAAGCTTACAAAAGTGGATGGAACAGGACGACACGGCGGTGGACAGCGGCGGCGCAGACGGCACCGACTCCAATGAAGTGCGCGCTCTTTTGTCGAGTCCCCCGATATATTTTTGGCGGAGGGCTGGTTCAGGGTTTCGCATTCGATCAACTGTACGTTCAGGGTGCTGGTAGAGGAGGCAGACGTGGATTCTTTATTTGGGCGTGTGTGAAGCAGGATGATAGTTCGGAAGCAGTCACGGCCGGATTTCCAAACTGATGATCCATGCCTCGTGAGCTTCCGGCAAGTCAGACCCTCCCTTCATGACAAGGCCGTGGTTAGTGGATTGGCTATGCTGCACTCCTCTTTAACACGCGCAAGCGACTTCTTCATGAACCACAGCCGGCCCGAAGCCACCAATTCTAAACCCCATAGGTAGGAGTGGAAAATTCTAAACCCCATGAAGTCCATAGGGCTAATCATCCTCAACCCAAGCCGATCAGTCCAGTACGATTCCCAGCAGCTCTTGTTTCTGCACACAGCATCTCAGGTGCGAAGGGGCCTGATCCAGCTGCGGGCAAAAGGCGGCTTCAGGGACGGCGGTCTTGAGATACTGTAGGGGCCTGAATAAGGATAACTACCTATACTATGTTGGGGGTTCGTTGTATTTCTTTGTTATAATTGAGGGAAATGGCTCCCAAAACCCTATTCTAATCATTAAGGCCCCTGCATTAGCAGGGTTTTGCAGGGTACCATGGGCTGGGTTTTCAAGTCTCTGCGACGACTTTTGTACTTGTCTAGCTTGTGCCCACCGACGATTTTTGTATGTACGGCGGGGATTTCGGTGCCTTTCTGCAGCACAGGGATTCTGAGGGCATGCACCTGGGGGAAGAGTAGGGTGAGTAGGGTTTGCCACGACGCATGCACTTGAACAAGATGATTTCCCTAAAAGAATCAGATCCCCAGGAGCGGAAACTGTTTGGAGGATAACGTGGCAAAGAGTAGTGAGCGGTACAATCCTGTCCTCAAAGTCTTGACCTTCGACAGCTAAATCGCATTTCCATGCCAGGAAGGTCGCTCCCGCGCCAAAGCTCCAGATGGTGCGCCGTCAACGCAGGCGGGTTCGCGAAGGAGCGGCTTAGGAAACAGGCCTCTGAGTCACTGGGAAGGCCCTCAGAACGATTTTTGTTCTGCTGCTTCGTTGCTATGCTTGGCTGGCTTCTTCCAGTTTTCTCTCTCATCCACTGCTTCGCATGAGGCCGAGTATCGCCTCACGACCTCGTATGGGAAGTTGATGTTTTCAAAAGTCAGCGTTTCAAAGTCTGTCCCAGTGGCTCCGTGTTGGGTCGGGTGAACTTACTTGTTGTGATCAAAGCAGCTCCTGCGACAGTGACCACACAGTTCATCATCCAAGACTGCCACATTTCCCACAGTTCGATACGACTGCATCGCATTTGTTATCGCGGTGCTGGAGTTTCTCATGATGATTCAATGTTAGGTCCTCCTTGGTGTATGAGTTTCCTGCAAGACCTGCCCAGAATACATAGCTGCATGCTTAAATCTCACTTAAATCTCAATTTCTGAAGTCCGGGATTGAATTAAGCCGCGAATCCGAAGACGAAGAGCTTGGAAATCCGTGAGATGCCGATGTCCTTGGCATGTCAGCCGGAGCCCAACTACCTTGAGGCTCTCATCCCACGTGCAGGTTTTCGGCGCAGTCTTGAGGTCCCAAACCCAGACCGTGGAAAGCAGCTAAACGGTTGTCTTGGAAACCTGGATGACGCAGGCATAGCGGCATACCTCATCCATAATCACATGCTTTCGGGATTCCCGTAGCGACAAGAGACTCGGGGCCCACAAACCCATCCAAGCACTACACAAAGCGTCCTCCACAGAAAACAGCATTACTCCGATTCTTCATCATCCACACTTGTTATGGATGTATGTATGTATGTGTGTATGTATATGTATATATATATATGTATATACATAAGACTGCTTTCGATTACCTTGCTGTACCACGAAGCTCTTTGATTGAAGCTCCAGAACCCCACGCAACTTCTGGTAGCCCTCGTAGAACCTTTATAGAACCCTGACATGGTTTCGGTGATCGCATCTTGCCCGGCAGCCCTGATTATAAGTCCGTCCATCATACCCTAAGGCTCCATGTACCCATATAGTAGGTACTTAAGCCTTAAAGTACCTATATAGGGACCCCTTTAAGGCTTAAGTACCTACTATATGGGCACATGGAGCCTTTGGGATAAGACCAGGCTGCTGGACCCGCGCACTGCGGCCGCCAGTCGCGCTGCCGGTCTCGGCGCTGCCACGATGCAGCGCCGGATGGAACAGCTCGTGGCAGCCCAGATGAATGCCGTTGAGGGTTCAGGGATCTGGCTAAGGTGACTGAGGAAGGCTCTGCCAGAGAGCTTCGCTGCCGGCATACACTCCAAGTCCGTGCTTACAAAAAGGGGTCTGGCTTGTTCCCAAGCAAACAAAAAGAGGTTTAGGGTTTAGGAATGCTTGGTATTTTTTAAACTCATCGGCCAACTTACACCCCCCACCCCCACCCCCACCCTCAGATGTGAAAATATCGCCCATGTCTGGGTAATGGGTAGATTTTTCATTGAGGAACCTTTGAATTCGCAGCGGCTTCGAAATCTTTTTGGTTTTTAACAAAAATCTCGCTTCTTGAGGAAATGGGATTATAAGTAGATTGTATGAAATTCTTTTTTTGTGTAAAAAACTCTTTAGTTTTAAAAACAGGTTCGCTCAAAAAAAAAACCTGACTCGATCAGGGGAGTCGAGAAATGTTCACAAAGCCTCTTTAAACTGTTTTTTGTCGGTGGTGGGGGTTGAAAATTCGCCGGCAATAAACGGTTTGCGGTTCAGACTCTTCTCGGCGGTTGTTTGGACTTGGAGGTTCACGGGTACTTATAAGTGGGGTTGTAAGTCCCTGAATATGGGATATAACTATAGTTATCTACTTATAACCCTACTTATAACTACCCATGAACCTCCAAGGAGTGTTGGAGTCTCCACCTCAGTGTGCACGGGTACACCTGTTCCAGACTTATGGTGTTACAAGAGTTATAGGGTTTCCAAGGTAAGGGTGATAAGGGTTTGGGATTTAGTGCATGACTGAGTTTTGGAAGATGTTTTCACGCTCCCTATACGAGAATTGCCTCCGGTCCTTTGAGTTGACTTACACCTTAAAAGACCCAAGGCTTCAACGGTTTTGGGGCTTTGACTGGACTCCAAACCCGGGAGCCAAAGCACAACACAGCCACAATTCCCACACCTATATGCCCAAGACCACTAAAGACAGCGCAAATCGCACGCATGCACGTACCCATAGGCTCCATAGCCATAGTAGTTCCTTGTGGGGGTTCATATTTAGAATCCGAAAAGGTGATCCCCAAAAGGAACTACTATGGAGCCTGTGGGTAAGGACATGGCCCTGTCCGTGTCGACCCTGGAGATTTTCGCGGATCGGCAGCCGGTGGAGTTCGGGATGACGGCCCGCGCCTCCTGTTCGTTGAGTTCTGAGTTTCTGTAAACGGCTCCATAAGGCTTACTATACGCGATTTACGGTCTAAATGGTCTCTTTGTTGAGTTTCTGTAAACGGTTCCATCAGGGTTTCTATACGGGATTCAGGGTCTATAAGGGTTACTTTAAGGGCTTGTAGGGTTTTGGGGGTTTAGCGCTTGGTATTTTCGGGTATCTAGGGGGTTGAGGTTGAGGGTTGAGGGTATATGTAGGCTGCTGGTGTTCTCCATCCCCTGTAGCGGGATGCAGAACGGGCCGCGGATCCAAGCAGGGGCGAAGGAAGCCCTGTGTGTTTGAGTACTTCTTCTGACCAAGGGGACCCTTCATTTGGTGCTTTTGGGGTTTTAACAAACGGTACTTGAGTACTTGGACCCTTCGAGCGTACGTTTGCAAAGCCCAAAGTCCAACCCGAGCATTGTTTGGCAGGCCGTGGTGGAGCTCTGGCTGGGACCTAACCAGCCCCTCCAATCGAAAGCCACGAAAGTGCCTGCTGACAAGAGCCAGTTTGCTCGGGCCCCAAAAAGGGAAGATTCCAGGGTTGAGTGCCCAGCCTTCAGGCTTGCCGGCTCTTAGGGTTTAGGGTCGCGAGAGGCGGGGTCACGATCTGGCTTTGCGAGTTTTCAGGCATGCACTGATCTTGCGTAAGTACTTGGGATGAGTTGCCGTTCGCCCGCCCTTGACCGAGTCCATCGGAAAGCTGGCATGGATGGGCGGCCGCTTGCCTGCAGAGCTCTCCGCAACATCGGCAGCCTTCGCAAGATCTTGTGGCCAGGGGGTCTGTCACTTTGTCGTATTCATAGTCTTCAAGTCCACCGAAAGGCACCGTCAGGGCACCAAGTTATTATAGGGCGTGATCAGAGGCTGTAGGCTGTAGGACAGGTTTAAGAAAGGTGCTGGGTGGTTGTGCGTGTGTGAGCTGCCTCCGCATGTCGGCAATCCACAATAACATCGGACTGGCAGGAATTGCATCTGCGAGTGCCCGAGAGGGAAGGTCTTTTCGAGGGTTTGGCAGTCATGGAACCGATTTAAGATTGGAGTCTGAAAAATCCGTTTGCTGCTGTAGTCAGTCAACATATCACTGCATTCAAGCATCCTGCTGCCTTACCCATGTTAGTCCTACTTTCGCCAGTTGCAGACGTACCCAAACCTGGACCGCAACCTTGAACGCTCCAATGCTAAGCAGGACAATTTCACCACAGAGCTCCCTTGCAGGCGATGATAACCGAATCCCGAACTCCGCCCTAAAGCCCAGAATACCCTGGAAGCTCTGAGCCCGAACCTCCGAGGTGGCGCCGATGAGTCTTTGTCAGGAGGGCGGTGGCTCACAGCTGACGGCGCTGCCGAGGCCGAATGCGCCGTCAGGCTTTCGGAGTTCATGGTTCAGGGTTTGTGCTGGCGGTGCTGTGATAGGGTTTAAGTTTTTGGATGGTTTGGGCTCTGGTTTCGGGCGCCAGGAATTCTTTCCATAGAAGAGTTGTAAGAGCTTCAATGCAGTGGTGCATGTCATTGAGGGGCCCTCTTCGTAGCTGAGTGGATACACTTTACACTGTTTTGGGATAGTATTACCCACTATAAAACCTAAAAGTGTATATATTTTGTGGCTTATGAACTCAGCAACTAGGAGGGAGCTTACGGGCCCCCGGAAATTCTGAACTCTGGGAGGCCTCGAAGCTGCTCCCGGAGTGGAGCTTGCGAGCCGCAGCCTCGGATTCCTCGGATTCTGCTTTCTTTGTTCCAGGAGCTTGCGGATTATTAGGCTTTCGGGGGGGGGGGGGGGGTTTCGGGTTTAGGAGCTTAGGGTTGTGGATTATTGGGGTTTGGGGTTGAGGGTTTGTTGGGTGCCAACACCTCTGCCGCGGAGCTTTTGCGATGACATGTGGGGCAGGCTGCTGGTTCGGACTTCCGCCATGACTCGACGTTGTGAAAACTTTCCTCCAGCTGGAGGAAAGAGGGTTTTGTTACTGTTCCTCTTGAATGTATAGGCTTGCCGCGTGGTGACAGTGGGCAAAGGCTACAGTCTGCCCACGGGATCTTCACTAGTGAAGTGATGTGTTTTATAGTATTATATAGTTTGTATGAGGCTGTTTGCTGGCTTCATGATCTTCCGAAGCATGCCGACCGAATAACTCTCGGTTAAACCAGTCGCTGCTGCTTCAACGTAACCTTCAGAGATCCTTTTGGCTCCTTGACTTGAACCCAAGGAAAAGCAGATCACCCAGAAACGTGTCTCCATAGAATTGCTTTCACAGATGCGTTTTCTACATTGCATTCAATTACCGCCAACTGCCGAAGTCTTCTCTCGAGATTGACGGCTGCATACCTGCGACCTCCCTCTGCAATCACCCTTCGCTGCTCAGCACAGTCATAAATCGCATATAGCCGAAAATCCGAAAATCATAACAGCATGAGTCCAAAATCATAGAGTTTCCTAAAAGGCCCTAAGCCCGAAATTCCAAGCCTGAAGCGAGGTCCACACGCCCACGCAGGGGCTCAGAGCCCTCAAGGAAGCCATCGCCAAGTTGACCGGCGCCCTGAAAAAGGAAGACATCCAGGTCGTTGCCTGGCATCCATCGGGGCCTCAATAGCTCGTAAGGATTTAGGGTTTAGCGTTTAAGGATTCTGTGGTATTTGCAACATGGGATGGGTCAAAGCTTACAGCAGATAGATTCTGAGCTGCATGCCAGAGTTCGACGAGGCTTGTTGTTCTTCAGCACGCCAAGAGAGAGCGTGGAGTCGACGTCGTAAGCATGATACAACACCGAAAAGAAAACAGCAAATAGTATAGTACAGTATAGTATTGGATAATAGTAAATCGTGACATATCGTTGTATTATGTTGTTTTCAAGCTGCCGATCGGCATCACTAAGGAACTCTCCACAGCAGGCTCGGTGGCGGTGACGCAGCCGGAGCTTGGTCAGCAAGTTGGCTATAGTACACGATAGCATAGCCTCATCTAATGCACCATAATACAACTATACCCAAGCCCCCTAATCCAACTCTCGTCGTCATTGCGTCGAGCCGATTCGTGGAACCAGTACTCAAATCTATTCCCGACAACAAGAGACTAGTCACCAACACACTTCGTAGCAGCAATGGAAAGAACTGTATGTCGTCAGTAGAAGTACTGTGGCTACAGTAGACAGTACTTGTCACAGGAAGTGCCGACTGATGAATAGAAGAAGATGCTCCAAGGCACTCTTGATAATGAGAGTCCCAAGACTCACCATGATAACGACAAGCATTACCATCACAAGAAGTATCATCGCGCTCAATAATCTTCAGCATCCTCATGAGTTGATGAGTAATGAAAATGATATCCAGTTTTGTCAAGGAGCGGCCACAGGGGGAGGTGTGCTGCCTCTTCTGGCTCCCTGCTGCCGACACGACCGACGAGCTTCGACAGCGTGCCTTTCCCTATGTTTGTTGCTTTAGGACTTTCGCTTGAGGGCGTTTTGGATTTCGAGTTTGAGTTTGGTGGTGACGGTTGCAGGCTTACAGGAAGTTGTGCGGGACTGGGATGGGAGGTGCGGGAGGACAGGCAAGACTACCCGAGGGAAGGGTCTGATGTCGTGATCAACAAGGACCCTCCTTTCTAGGCAGGGTTGCAGTTCCGTCTTCTGAAGCCACCGGGTAACAGATGGAAGGAAGCCATCGTTGGAGGCCAGACTGTGGAGTTCCTTGTAGACCCAAGACCAGGGTACGATCAGAATGAAGCCAGATGCCCCATTTCACGGTAGAGGGTGGCCGAGACCGGGGGAGGTAGGAATCAAGGAACCGTTTCATGGTAGTTACCTGGCTCTTCCCCAGAAGTGGGCTCAGGTGTTGAGCAGCTGGATGCGAAAGCCTTCACCCAGCAGTTTGCAGCGAACATGCTTGATGTTGGCCTCGATGCCATGGCCTGTCTTCAGAGCGTTTTCATGCAATAGTCTTTTTAAGCTTGAAGGAACCTGGGAAGTCCAGCAACCTGTTTCTCCCAAAGGAATGCACCGACATAATGAGAAACACCCCCCCAGAGAAATCTGAGTCAGAGGCCGAATGTTGACCCCGAGAGCTCGGAGGTTCGAACCAGTAAAAAACCAAAGTAGCCAAAGTTTATGCCCAATTGGCTGCATGGGACAAGTCTACACGGCAGCAGTTTGAGCTGTAATGCTAGCGTTTAGCCACAGACAAATGGCTGGTCAATGGCTTCCTGTTTGGCTAAAAGCGGAAGGAGCCTTTAGACCTAGACCTTACAGAGCCCGCGAGGATGTGGATGCGAGTCACCTGAGCATCCTGGAGCCATTTCAAGCATCGACAGCATCGGACCCCGAAACTGGTCAGAGTCCCAGCCACGTGTCTTTTAGGTAGGGCTTAGGGACATTTTATTTTTCCCTTATTGGGCTTAAGGGGATCTTATTTACTAATATTTTTGAAAGGCTCTAAAAGCCCCACCTAGTCTTGAGAGCACGGCACTTGACATGAAAAAACACGGACTCAGCAGTGCTTGCGCATAACAGGTAGATAGACAAATACATAGATACAAGTATGCGCAGGTACTCTATGCATGCGTATGTGTATACTATATATATATATATATATATATATAGAGACATATGTATGTGTGCGTGTGTACTCCAATATGTGTATATCTATATATATATATATATATACACTTCTGTGTTTGTATGCAGGTACATACACACATATGAATATGAGTTTTTGCATGTAGATCTATGTATATTTTATATATATATATATACATGTACATGTATATGTGTGTGTATATAAATATATACATATGTATACATACATAGATGTGGTCCAGAGTTTGGAATATGCTCAGACTGTTAGTCCCCCGCTCCAGTGTACCTGCTTTGTTCTGCTTTGCTTGTATCCTCCGTTTCCGGGGCCGCAGGCGCAGCGCTGATTCGCGGCAGTTTCAAGTTCGCCGTGCGGCAGCAGGCCTGTTGTTGATCCACTGTCGGGCTCTATGGGATTATAGGCAATGCGGGGCCCTTTCAATAAGCATCTTACTTTGGCGCCTATACCTGCTTCTCACTGAAACCACCCATGCGCGGCACTTCGCTGGCATCACATGGCGCCACAGACAACAAAGGTTGTGTGCACAGCGTCAAGCTCTGTAGTAATTAAGCAACTTCTTCCCCTCTCTGCGGCGAGTTAGAACCATTCCTATAGTCTCCATTGTAGTTCCTTTTTGGGGTTACCTTGTAGGATCCTTAACATAAAACTGGTAAAACTTAAAAAGGAACTACAATAGATTCTATATAGAGGTTGAACATGATTTGGGAGTGCTTCGGGGCTCTCCAGAAATGCTGTTTTCGTCAACCCAACCCTAGAAACCCAGGTAACTCTACCTTAGATTGGGCATACGCTTAGTGCAGTAGCCCATATATATATATATATATATATACACACATACATACATACATACATACACACACACACCCATGTATATATATATATATACACATACATATACATATATATATATATATATATATATATATGTGTATATATATATACATATATATATATATATATATATACATATGTATATATATATATATATATACATATATATATATATATATGTATGTATATATATATATATATATATATATATATATATATGTATATATGTATAAAATCGGGTGTCTGGGCAAACAACACTTTGCAAGCACGACATCGGGAATTGAACAGACCTGCCTGTAGACGGATGGGATGCAGATTGCTACTGTTTTCTGGCAGGAGAGGTATCACGACGACTTCATCATCCCCGTGGACCTACCAGACGAGATCGACGAACCTTTTCTCAAATCTGACAGGGCCGACGACAACCGGAGTAGCAAACAGGATCAGAATGACTGCAGCAAGCAGTGTAAACAATACAGTCTTCAAACGCACAAAAGAGAGCAAAGCTGAGCATGGTTTAGCAGTAGATTAAATAGCGGAAATTACGATCAGGAGGATGCTCAATATCCTCGTGTTTTGCCGCCCTGCTTGCGTTTGGATGCACTGTAATTAGGACCAAGAGTCTTTCAGTCAAGTCTGGAGGTCTCGATTCTTAGCTGTTAAGGACTCCAGGGTTTGTGGTACGAGTGGTCGTAGTCTTAGCCATGCTCGTCGTCGTAGAGTAGTGGGCAGTGGTGGTGGTTGGGGTGGAGGTACAGTAGTCAGTAGCAGTAGCGAGCAGCAGCAGCAGTAGCAGCAGTAGTAGCCGCAGCAGTAGTAGTAGGATTAGTAGTACTCGTAGTACGAGTAGCGCCAGTAGTACCAGTGGCACAAGTAGTACTGGTAGTACTAGTACCCTCCCGAAACGAATCTCCGACAAAGGATGCCGCCCCTAGCGACCGCGAGATAAAGCAGCTCTTCGCCGAGGTGGCGTCAGTTCTTTCGGGGTTTAGAGTCTAGAGTTTGGGTTCATGTTGGATTCGATTTCACGCTGTGTATATTATAATAGTATGTATATATATATATGTGTGTGTATATGTTTACGTATTGACATGATTGCTCAACTCAGTAGGACTATGTGTACCAGTGACACTGTACTGGAAGGCTGGACTTGCAGAGCTGACACTTCCGACGCGGAGTGTCGCAGAAGCTGTTCCTTCCGTCGGTACTCTGTGAAAAATTCCCCACTAGCAATGCCTGGATGTATTTAATGACAGATCCCACACAGTTGGAGGTTCTTCAGCAGCCTCTCTTGTCTTGACAGCTTTCCACGACTTTGTTTGGGTCTTCGTTAAATTGACCATTGTCGTGTTTTTTCGATTGTCGTCATTGGCATTAGACTAAGCTTCAGCTCGCAGGAACCGGGCTTTTACGGCGGTGGATTGTCGACAAGTCTTTCTTAGTAGTGTGTACAACCATAGAGATGGTGCTGAGGGAATTGCATGGACTCCATGCTCACAGTTTCATTCAGAGCACACTACCCAGCTCTTGGCAACGACACGATCCGCATGAGCACCATGCCCAAGTCGGATCCTAGCATGTCCGATTCTGAGCGCAGGGCCTCAGCCGGTTTTCTGTGCCAAGGGGTCCTAGAAGGGGAATTTTAGGGGTTTGGTGCAAGGGCCTCGTGCCAGGTGGACGACTTGATCCACAGTCAGGCCTTGGCAGCCGCACTGGGAAGTCAGAAGGGCCCGGCGATGGGAGAACGCCTGGAGCCTCGAAGAATCGAAGTGCAGGTTAAGGAATTTAGAGGTTCATGATGACATACCGAGTGTCTGGGAGAGGGAGGGAGGGAGGGAGAGAGAGAGAGAGAGAGGGGTTCATGATTCGAATCGAGGGTGGTTGGATTAAGGAGACTTGTTGGTTCCGTCGCTTGTTGGTTCCATCGCTCCGGTACGTATATTGCGGTCCTGTGACTTTACGCCCCGATCGGGCAGTCCGAGAAACTGAACAATAAGTGACACTAATCCTCAGGGTTCTGTGTTATAGTATAACATACCGCAAATCCTTTCTCTAAAATCAAGAGGCCCTTTACTTGCACCAAAACCCGGTTATGCTAACTAGCAGTCTATATAGACCCAAAGCTCTACAATCCCTATAAATCCCCAGGCCTACCCCAAAAACCTGAGCCATGCCGGATGCAAAGGAGCGTGCCACCTGCGCCTTAGCAGCAGCCCTTCGTGCTGATCTTGCCAATGCCATGAAGGCCCCCTTCGAGATGGGGCTTTCGGGTTTCAAGTTTAGAGGATTTGCGGTGTGTTCTGTGTCTTTTGGATTTGTTGCTGCTTGGTAAATTGAGCTCCAAGAAGAAACAGCGAAGTTTTTGTGGTAGTTTTGGGTTTAGGGGGTTTGGCATTTTGGTTTTGCTCTATGTTTGGATTCGTTTTGTGGCTGCAGAGTCTAGCAGGTCTAGCAAGCACTCGATCTAGTGGAATCCAGGGAGTAGGGCAGGTAAGGAATATAGAGATTATTGTTCGGGATCAGCGTCCACGCTTTTAGGTTGTACTCGTGGTGTTAACCTATGCTGCGTACACGGCTTGTTGGCTCCATGCATGAATGCATGCATGGAAGTCTGCATACACGTATGGCTGTACGTATGCCGTATGCGTAAATCCCATAGTGAAATCCCGAGACTCGAAATCCACCAGAAGCTACCCTCAGCCCAGCCAAAACCCTAAAACCTTCAAACAGAACTCCCCTGAACCCAAAGGGTTCAAGTATCAATATAGTAGCTACTTAGTATACATGGCCCCCAAAAGTGTACACTGTCGCTATACAATTACTTGGACCTTTTGGGAAAGACTTTTCCCTCCTAATGTGTCAAAAGCGCCAAACAAGCGGATGCTGAAGCTTCATAAACCCTAAGACCCCACTGACATGGCCCCAAACGCCTGAACCGCCCAAGACGAGACCCAAAATTACAACCCAACCCTAAACAGAAGCCCTAACCCCTGAGGCCCAGAACTGTCAGACAAGACAGCCCCTTAGAGCCAGGAAGGCACGGAAACCGCCCTGAAGGTGGGGAGTTGAGGGGGGGGTTCGGATTCGGGTCTGGTTTTGAGGACAGGGTTCTAGGATTGAAGAGGTTCGGGCGTGGGCTTTGAGTCTCAAGACTAGACGGTTTTGGTGCTTTGCTTTTTAGTCCTGGGATTCTGAGGGGTTGCAGGTGCTTGGTGTTTGGCGGGCTTCTGGTAACGGTTTTAATTCATAATCTGGGCAGTCTAGAGTTTGGCTTGGGCGTAAAGTGTGGAATGTGCTTCTCCCTAAGCCTTGAGTCCGTTGCGACGCCAGACGCGGCTTGAATCTGAGGCGTCGCCGACTTAACCAGAA